AGAGGTGGGCGGCCAGAGGGTGAGGAGGGGGAGAAGGATTACGAAGCCCACAGAGGCAGCTGCTAGGAAGGGGCTAGAGCAGGCACCCTTTCTCTCATTCCACATGCAGCCTGCTTGTTTAGCTCAGGACCAAGAGCTTCCCAGCCTGGGATCTTGTCTCTTGGTAGAAGAAAGTTGGGAGAGGCCATTGACAGAGAAAGAATCAACACTAACCTTTCATTTCAACAGCCTCAGGAACACTCATGTTCACCTTTTTCCCTTGCCTGGGAGGAGAGCTGAAAGATTTCTAGGTTTTTCTGGTGCAGTAGATTTGGAACTTTGAAATAGTAGCTTTAAATTGGTAGCTTTAAAATAGTAGTTTTAAATTGGTAGCTTCAAAACCTACCTTATGGCTGTAGGTGTAGCTCAGAAGCCTTTTAGAGTGGAGGGGTCAGGAAAGGAGAAAATCTCCAACTGGGTACATTACAAAGATTTCCACTGAAGGAAAAACAGATTCCAGGGCTGAGAATATAGCTCAGTGGTACAGTCTGCCTAGCATTTAAGAGCATCTGGGGGTCAGGGAGATAGCTCAGTAGCATAACGGCCTGCCTGGCAAACACAAGGTCTAGAGTTCAATCCCCGGTACCAAAATAATAATAACAACAACAACAACAACAATAATAATAAAGAACATCTGGCTCTACTCCCTCAGGGTTCCCCACCCCCACCCCATACACACAGAATTATTCCAAAGCTAAAACAAAACTTTAAAACTTTGTTTTGTTTTTTGCAGAACTAGGGATTGAACTCAGGCCTTTGTGCTTGCCAGGGAAGCGCTTATTCCACTGAGCCATCTCCCCAGCCCCTAAAACTTTGAATCGGAAGTACATCACCCTCATTTCACAGCTGAGCTGAGCAGTCATGTTGGAGTGAGGGAATGGGTCATCTTTTTTTTTTTTTTTTTTGTGGAACTGGGGATTGAACTCAGATCCTTGCACTTACCAGGGAAGTGCTTATTCTGCTGAGCCGTCTCCCCAGCCTGGAATGGGCCATCTTTTCTCAGGGTAGACACACAGTAATTTCCTGTTAGACTAGAGTGGCATTTTACCTTGAAGAGGCAGTGGAGAAATGGATGAATGAAACTATGAAGTTACCAGCTTCCTAGACCTTCCTCCCCAGAGATGAGCCAGTTCTGAAGAGTGATCTTCCACTCTGCCATAAGGGCTCACTGGTGTGTCAGAGGTCTTTCTGTGGCTGGCCTTGGGAGCCCAAGAAACAGTGTTCAACATTGTAATGTTATTTAATGACTTTCAAGGAATAATTGTCCTTGTTCAGCTCAAGGAAGCTAAAATCACTTGATTTGTCTGGGTTCCCAGAGCCCTTTGTGGAAGCTGACAGGTGATGCGAGCAGAGGAAAAGGGAGGAAAGCTGGCCGCCATGTAGCTTGTCTCAGGGTATAGATCCTTGTGGTGTGAGAACTGGAGTTTTCCCCAGTTATTTCAACATTGTTCACAGGAAATGACCTTTTCAAGACTTTGCACAGGAGGCCAGGGAGATGGCTCAGTGGAATAAGTGCTTCCCTGGCAAGCGCAAGAGTCTGAGTTCAATCCCCGGTTCCGCCAAAAAAAAAGACTTTGCACAACTGGCCAGCTTTGTTCTCCGGCCTTCTCCTACCTTCGTTTCCTCCTAAACTTCAGTCACAGCAGCTTGTGCTGTTTCTGAAGACATTCTGAATATGCAGTCTGCTAAGCCCTCACTGCTCACAACCTGAAGGCCAGGACCAGGTCTCAGTATATCTCTGTTTCTCTCTCCCATCCCTCCTTTCCTTTCCTTTCCTTTCCTTTCCTTTCCTTTCCTTTCCTTTCCTTTCCTTTCCTTTCCTTTCCTTTCCTTCTTTCCTTTCCTT